ACCTGTAGTCCCAGCTACTTGGGAGGCTGAGGCAAGAGAATCACTTAAGCCCAAGAGTTGGAGGTTGCTGTGAGCTGTGATGCCACAGCAGTCTACCGAGGGTGACATAGTGAAACTGTCTTAAAAAAAAAATTCAGCTCTTTTCCTGCTGTACAGAGCATCACACCTAAGCCTAAGTTCAAGAAAGAGGCAGTGTGATGTGGTGCCCGCAAGCTATAATCCTCTGGCCCATTTCCTTTCTATTATATAAGAAAACAGAGACTAACTCTTCAGCAAGCTTGTATCGGTCAGGACATGGTCACACATCTTTTCCAACTTCAAGAGAAGCTGAGAAGATGAGTTCTTAGGAAGGCTTATCTTTTGAAAAAGAACAAGATGTTGGAATTCTCTATTCACAACACCACTACACTATGTAGAAAGCCACCAGGGAATCAGGGATCTGTTTCCTGTTGGACAGAAGGCCTGAGCATAGACAGAGACTAATCCGAGAGCAGTCTTCAAGATAGTAGGAAAGTAGGAGTGACCCCCAACAGAGGGGTGCATGATGTGCATCTGACTGTTCAGATAGAAAGCACAGATGCATCTGATGAGGAACCTAACATACTCTGGCTACTCTGTCCATAATTTTACAAAATTCTGTATTGCTCCCTTGGAAACTTTTAACTTGTCTGATCTCATGTGGAAACCGTTATCTTTCCTGTGAATTTTACTTTTTCCTTCTCTGGACTATTTTCTGATTGTGTTGTACCTCCTGTGACATGACAGTCAGAATTTTACCTGATACTCCACAGTGTACTTTATCTTGCCTTATTTTTTCAAGTTACAACTAATTGTAGTTTTTTTAAATAGAATTTACATCAAGCTATAATATCCACCTGCCTGAATCCCATGTTCTTTTAAAGTTATGCAAATACATCCATTTGGACACTTTTATTCACTAATATTGTAGTTCAAACTTTGTATCTAACATCCATTTATGACTTGAATTTTTTCTAATATTTCACTTGCCAGGGCACCCTTATTGATACACTAGTCCAAACATAGCTAAGTAAATCCCACAGGTAAGCACAAGCATCTCCTGCCATCTAGTATACCTGGAGATAAAGATCTCTGCAATGAATAGGAAAGCAGAAGTCTCAGTAAGGACAGAGCTCCATTAATCTCATCTACGGGAGGTTTTTAAGCATACTTGGAAGGACTGATAATACAGGAGGCATGGATATAATGTAATATCCTTTATTAACCCACCAAATTCGGTTGATAACTACAAAAGTTACTGTAGCACAGACAAGTGGGAAATGACAAATGAGTTAAAACTAATTTCGTTCTGGTCCAGTATATGGTTTTGGAGACAACTTGTAGAGTAATTAGAATAGTATATGCTTCATATCCCAGGATATACAGATAGAGATGGCTTTGAGATGGCTGGAGAGGGCGGTCCGCACATGAGAGTTCCATCTTGAAGCTGCAGAGCAACAGAGCCACTTGACGTCATAGTGTGATCAAAGTGTTCTGCAAATACTTACTGTAATTATTGTTGTTGTTCTGTTCTTGCTAATGACTTATTTATACCCCAAAATTATAATCATCCAAAGCAAGATTAAAACAAGATGTGTGAGTTGCTGGAGCTATTTGCCTCGCACACAGTCACCCTCAGAGTTCTCTGAAATTGCCAAAGATAATTGAAGCTTCAGTTTTGACTAGTGTAGTTCATACTTAAGTGTTCCTTACCTGTTGGTGTTCACTCTCTAAAAGAATACAACAATAGCATTTTAATTTGTTCTCATTAATTCTAGCCTCTCGGGTCGTGTTGAGTGCAGCCTTTATCTAGATGTTGTTTACTCCTCCGATTGAAACCTTTGTGCCAGCTTCCCAGCTGAGAAGAAAAACTAAATAGTTATGAAGGTGAAAACATGAATATTTAAAGGATGCTCAGAACTCAAGAAACGTTGAGGGAGAGTTAACTTTTAAATGGTGGACAGGAATTTAGTGTATGATTAATAGCAGTTTCCCTGGGGTTTCAGCAAGCTGGGACAACTGGGAATCATTCTTGGGGAGTCTTACAGATAGTTTTTCCCAGAGCCAGCAAAGTGCTCCAAGGAAAAGCATTACAGATTCCCACAAAACAACGTAATATTTACTGTTTCTCTTTGGTGTTCCTCTAGCAGTTTAAAATAAAAGAAAGCAATCTTAAGATCAAACTTAAAACGCAAGGCCTTCCTTGCCTCTACTTCTCAGCTGTGTAAAAGCAGAAGACCAGTGAAAAGAACTGGGTGTCAAGATGTTTTATTAGTTGGGTGAGCCCTTTGCCTGTGTCTTGAGATTTGAGTATGGATAAGAGAATGAATGAATGACTGTGCTTTCCTAAATCTGGGCACTTTTACCTGTCGGTGGCATTGCTTGCTCTTTGATTAAGGCCCAAGAGAAGAAATAGGGAGAGCTGAAAGGAGAGAAGGCATTCTGGGCCGCCTTAAATTTATTGCAACCAATAGTACAGACTGGCGTTAAGGGCCAGGCATGGTGGGTCATGCCTGTAATCCTAGCACTCTGGGACGCCAAGGCAGATGGATTGCTTGAGCTTAGGAGTTTGAGACCAGATTGAGCAAGAGCAAGACCCCGTCTCTAAAAAAAAAAAAAAAAAAAAAAAAATTGCCAGGTGTTGTGGTGGGCATCTATATTCCCAGCTACTTGGGAGGCTGAGGCAAGAGAATCACTTGAGCCCAAGAGTTTGAGGTTGCTGTGAGCTGTGACCCCATAGCACTCTACTGAGGGTGACAAAGTGAAACTCTGTCTTGAAAAAATAAATAAAATTTGATAAATTTGTGTTGGCTTATAGGGATGCAAAATAGCTAGAATCATAAAGAATGCATTTTAAAGTCTTATTTAAAAATAATTAAAATTTTAAAAGATGTCAAAATAAAAAAATAATAAATAAAGTAAAATAAAGACTGGCATCAGTACCATGATCTTCTTATATATGTGGTATTCAAAAGTAGAAAGAAATGAGTCATGAATACATGTGTGGTGAACAAAGCTGTTCCCCCAAAAAAGGAAAAATGAAAGAAAGGTACAGGAAGGTAGAGCATGAGCTCTCCAGCTGGACTGCCTGGATTTGAATCAAAGCCCATCAGCTTTTACTTGGGTGACCTTAAGCACGTAAGTTTACTTCATCTTTTATAGATTTTTTTTCCCCTAAAATAGGGAAATGAAAACTAAATGAGATAATATACTGTATGTAATATAATATAATACATAATATTCTGTATGTAATGGGCTTATGATAGGACCTCACACATGGTAAATTATTTTTTTAATTGAGATTTGCATGAAAGGTAAATTGGAATTGGTACTTTACTTCCTAAAGTATTTTTTTCAGTGTACTTTGGAGTATTTCCTTTAACTAAAATCCTCCTTTTAATAATTAAAGTTCTTAAAACTATTGTTCCACAGAAATAAAATTTGTAATTATTTAAGAAGCGTCTTTCCATGTGCGTGGCATACATTTTACCTGTTCCGGTAGATTTGTTGTAGTTTGTTGGTAAGGTGAGGCAGATGTGCAAATCATTGTAAAAAGGGCTCTGTTGCAGTGGCAGACAAGGCATCTAGCCAAGATTTGCACGTGGGGCTGAGATCTGTTCCCCACATGCTGTACTTCTCTATCAAGACTGCTTCTTTTGCTACTAAGCTGATTGTGGTGGCGGTGGTAGTAGTGGTTGGCTCAGAAAACTGGTTAAGTATTAAAACCGTCTTCTCATTAAGTCACTTTATACATTTGTTGTTTTCCTTGCCTTATAAAATAGTCACATACCTACCTACACCGAGAGCTGGTAGGAAGTCTGTTAGCTCTTCATGGTACTATGTGTACCTCTTTATGCTTGGTAGAGTAATAAATGCTATTAATAATGACACTCTGTCAATCTCACACTTGTACGACCTTCACTTCCTCTCTGGGTCTGCTCTTAGTGATTGCTTTAGCCAGCTGACTATTCATGCCTGAGTCTTGGCATTGAGATCTCAGAGGGCCACGACCCTCAAGCTTGCTCATTGTGTTTCATTTGGCCTTTACAGGAGTCAAGAGGAAGAATCCCCATAGGATGGTGAGCTGACAGTGGGAACCTATAGGCAAAGTAAGTGGAAGAAAGGCTACTTGATGATATAGATTGGAATTTGATGGCACAATTAGTTTGGGCTGAGTGACCGGTCAAGACCACATTTTCACATTTTTCACATAGTAAATAACAAGTGTAAACACGCTCACCAGGATTCGTGAAGTGGAGTGCTCTGAACTGGAGTAAGGCAAACTAAATATGAGCCTTCATGATGAAAGCACACCAAAACATGCCAAGAAAACTCTTACCCAGGTTTTCCCTTTTAGATATCCTCAAGTGTTGTTCTTGAAAAACACTTGATAACTGGAAACTATAATGGGGATCACTAGGACTATGGGAAAACTGCAGCATAATGTGGCCAGTATTTAAACTTTTTCTTCCCACAAATGTGCAATTATGACAGTTATACTGGTCTCATAAAACAAGTTGAGAAGTGCTCTATTTTTCTGAAAGAGTCTATAGAAATTGGTATTATTGCTTCCTTAAATGTTTGATATTCACTGGTGAAGACACCTGCACCTGTAGTTTTCTTGGTGAGAAATATACATACCATAAAATTTACGTAATAATTTACATTGTTATATATACACCACCACCATTCATCTTCAGAACTTTTTCATCTTCCCCAATGAAACTATACTTTTTTTTTTTTGGGGAGACAGAGTCTCACTACGTCACCCTCAGTAGAGTGCTGTGGTATCACAGCTCATAGCAACCTCCAACTCTTGGGCTTAAGTGATTCTCTTGCCTCAGCCTCCCAAGAAGTGGTGACCACAGGCACCTACCACAATGCCTGGGTATTTTTTTGTTGTTGCAGTTGTCATTGTTGTTTAGCAGGGCTGGGCCAGGTTTGAACCCGCCAGCCCCAGTGCATGTGGCCAGCGCCCTACCCACTGAGCTATGGGCGCCAAGCCTGAAACTATACTTTTTAAAAACTTTTTTTATCTAGCTTCTTTTTAAAATTGTGTACATTTAAGGTATACAACAAAATGTTCTTTTTTTTTTTTTTTTGAGACAGAGCCTCAAGCTATCCCCCTGGGTAGAGTGCCGTGGCATTACAGCTCACAGCAACCTCCAACTCCTGGGCTCAAGTGAGTCTCCTGCCTCCGCCTCCCAAGTAGCTGGGACCACAGGCGCCCGCCACAACGCCCGGCTATTTTTTGGTTGCAGCCATCATTGTTGTTTGGCGGGTCCGGGCTGGGGGTTCGAACCTACCACCTTAGGTGTACGTGGCTGGCGCCTTAGCCGGTTGAGCTATAGGTGCCGAGCCACAACAAAATGTTCTAATGTACATATGCCCAGTGAAATTGTTAGATAGTCAAGCAAATTAACATATATCATCCCACATAGTTACTTTTTGTGAGTGTGTGTGGCAAGAGCATATGAAGTCTACTCTTTTAGCAAAACTCCCTAATATGATACAGCATAACTGACCATAATCCTCATGTGGTACATGACATCTCTAGATGTCTTCATCCTACATATCTGCAATTTTGTACCTTTTGACCTACATGTCCCCATTTCCTCTCCGCTCCCTGGGTACCAATTAGGCATGCTTAATTTCCCTTTCTCGCCTCTCCCCAGCCTCTGCCAATCACTATATAATTTTTTTTGGAGACAGGGTCTAGCTTTGTCTACACCCTCCACCCCCCAGATTAAAGTGGTATTATTGTAGCTCATTGCTACTTCAGACTCCTATGATCCTCCCGTCTCAGATTCCTAAGTAACTGTGACTACCTTGCCCGCTCATTTTTTATATTTTTAGTAGAAACGAGTCTCACTTTTGGTCAGGCTGGTCTCAAACTCCCAGCCTCAAGTGATCCTCTGCCTTACCTCCCAGAGTGCTAGGATTAGACATGAACTACTACCTTGATCATTTTTACATTTTGGCTCTACAAATTTGACTACTTTAAGAACCTCGTATAAGAGGAATCATAATATTTGTCCTTTTTTTAACTGCCTTATTTCACTTGGCATAATGTCTTTAAGATTCAACCATGTTGGCCATACGGGATGGCTTATGCCTATAATTCTAGCACTCTGGGAGTCAAGGCAGGAGGATTGAAGTCAAGGCAGAAGTTGAAGACTAGCCTCAACAAGAGTGAGACCCTGTGTCTGTATATTAAAAATGGAAAAAATGGCTGGGCATAGGTCATGGTGCGTACCTGTAGTCCCAGCTACTAGGGAGGTTGAGGCAGGAGAATTGCTTAAGCCCAGGAGTTTGAGGTCACTGTAAGCTATAATGATACCACTGCACTGTAGCCTGAGTGATGGAGTGAGACTCTGTCTTAAAAAAAAAAAAAGACGGGGAAAGACTCAACCATGTTATAGCATGTATCAAAATGCATCAAAATTTCCTTTCTTTTTAAGGCTGAATAATGTTTCATACATCACATTTTATTTATCCATTTGTCTTTCAATGGCTACTTGGGTTGCTTCAACCTTTCTTTTATTGTAAACCAGTGGTTCTCAACCTTTCTAATGTGACGGCCGTTAACACAGTTCCTGTGGGTCACAACCCACAGGTTGAGAACCGCTGTTTTAAACAGTGATGCTGTGAATGTAAGTGTACAGATACTCTTTGGTCTCTGCTTTCACTTCTGTCCAGAAGTAGGATTGTTGGCTCTGATGTTAAGTCTGTTTCAGTTTTTTTTTGAAGATTCCCCTTCCTGTTTCACACAGCAGCTGTGTCATTTGACATTTCCACAGTAATGTATAAAGGTTCCAATTTCTTCACATGCTCACCAATACTTGTTATTTTCTGTTTTTTTTAAATTATATCCCTACTATTGGATGTGATGTTTGTTTTGATAATTATAAATTTAACTTATTTAATAAATATAGGGCTATTTAGATTTTCTCATGTATCATTTTAAGTTGTTATTGGTGACTTGTGGTTTTTAAGGAATTTGTCCTTCTAATAAATGTAATAAAATTGCCCATAATATTCCAGTATAAGCTTGTCAATGTCTGTAGGATCTGTGGTAACATCTCCTCTTTCATTTCCTGTTACCAGAAATTTATCAGTCTTGCCAAAGGTTAATGGTTTTATTCATCATTTCAAAAAACTAGCTTTTGGATTTGATTTTCACTGTTTTTTCCATCTTCTATTTCAATGTTTTCTTCTTTTTATTATCATTAGTATTCCCTTTGTCCACTTACTTTGGGTCTAATTTACTCTTACTTTGAACTGAGATCACAGATTTTAGGTCATTTTCCTTTCTAACAGAGGCATTTAACACAATAAATTTCCCACTAAAAACTGCTTTATTGGCTTAGTGCCTATAACTCAGCAGTTAGAGCGCCAGCCTCATGTACTGGGGCTGGCAGGTTTGAACCCAGCCCAGGCCTGCCAAACGACAATGACAACAACAACAACAACAACAACAACAACAAAATAGCCAGGCATTGTGGCGGGCGCCTGTAGTCCTGGCTACTTGGGAGGCTGAGGCAAGAGAATCACTTAAGCCCAAGAGTTTGGGG